GCACGACTTGGTCCAGTGCTGCGGCAGCGGCCACTTCCCAGGCCGCCGCCAGATTTTCAGCCGAATCGTGAACTAGATCCTCAGGATATGGCCCAAGCTCCGTCAGGAACCTCTCTGGGTCCATCAGGCGCCTGGGGCGGAACCATCTATGTGGTTCCGACTCCCTGCGGCGGGGGGGAGCGGTCCGGAAGTCCATCTTAAGGAGTGAATGATCTGACCATGACAGGGGCTCTATAACTACCTCCCCCATTTCCAGATCGTTCTGCCACTGGCCAGAGACAAAAATTAGATCCAGTGTGTGTCCTCCCGTGTGAGTGGGGGCATAAACTAATTGGGTCAAGTCCAAGGCCGTCATGGAAGCCAAGAACTCCCGAGCTGCCGCCGACGTTTCGCCCGCCAATGGCAGATTGAAATCCCCCATGACTATAAGTCTGGGGGTCTCAACTGCCATCCCGGCTATTACGTCAGCCAACTCAGGCAGGGCCGTTGATACATAGCAGGGAGCCAGGTATATAATCAACAGGCCCACTTGTACCCCTTTCCCCCACTTCACAAGGAGGGACTCCCCACCGTCTATCTGATGCACAGTGGTCTCCCTCGGACATAGGCTCTCCCTTATAATGACCGCTACCCCACCGCCCCTACCCTGGGTCCTTGGCTGATGGAATACCTGGAAACCCGGCGGGCAAATGTCAACGAGGGGCACTCCCCCTTCCGTGCCCAGCCAGGTCTCGGTGATACCTGCCAGGTCCGCACCCCCCTCTTGAATAAGATCTTGGATGAGGGGGGCCTTATTTACCACGGACCTGGCATTGCATAACATCAGCCGGTGATCCCGGGCCCGAGGATCTAAGATCCCTGGAGGCCGAGTAGAGTCCTGAGGACCGGAGCACCCACAAGCTTGTAAACAGCGTATGCGTGCTCCCAAAACCCGATATGGTCCTCTGCTCCCGCCATATCTGCCCCTCCCACTGACCGTACTGATCACACCACCCTCCCTTAACCCCCCAGCCTCCTCCCTCACCGTTCTGATGCCGCGTCCCTCAGACAGGCCTGGCCTTGGCCTCAGAGAGGCATCTATACCTATACCTGTATCTGTCAGTCAAATGTTTATTACAGTCAAAGACCAGTAGAATTAAAAATACTCAAGGTATCTAGTTAAAAATTCTAGAATAAAATAACAAATAACAAATAAAATCTATGTTAAAATCATAATTTGGCATCCTATCTGTCAGTTGCATGTAAACAAAAACATGGCCTAAGCTATAATATAATATTAGTCCTTAAATTGTGAAGGTCTAAAGTCATTAGATATTAAAATACAACAAGTTGATAATACCAAAAGATTTAGTACATTAGTTGTGTAAAATAGCTACAATGGATTATTCATTAGGTTTTCCTCGTAGTCTGTCATGGAACCCCATCAGGTTCTTGCAGAACCCTTGGGTTCCAAGGAACACAATTTGAAAAACCCTAGTCCAGGCCATTAGAGAGCCAGTTTGGTGTAGTGGTTGAGGCAACAGGCTAGAAACTGGGATACGGTGAGTTCTAGTCCCACCATAGGTACTCCAAAGCCAGTTGGACGACGTTGGGACAGTCACTTTCTGTCAGTCCTAGGAAGGAAGCAAACCACTTCTGAAAACCTTGCCAAGATAACTGCAAAAATTTGTCCAGGCAATCTCTGAGAATGGTCACAATTGAATGTAAGAAAAAAAAATTACTTAAAGCTTTTAATAAAAATGTTATTTTAAAAAAGAACCACATACAATCTTTAGCTTATTCCATGAGGTTTACATGACTGTTTGCTGGCTGATTTGCCTCCTTGCTTTCAGCTATTCATTTATACAACTGTTGAACACAATACACCTTTCTGCACACTCTTCAGCATTCACAATACCAAACTCTGGCGTAGTAGGGAAGGGAATTATGGGATCTCAGTGTGCTCAGAAAAGAGGCTCAGATGCTAAAATGGACAAAAGTTTTGTGAATAAGAAAAGAGCAAGAAATCTATGTTCTACCCACCATCAACATATAAGTAGTGGTATAAATGAATGAACAACTGTATTTTAGGACTGCACAACTATTGAAGATTTAAAAATATTAATAACAATATTCCACATTTTTTAAAAAGCAAACCAACGCAATATCTTACATTGCTTTATATTCCATTATTATTTACATATCTATGGGTAGAATTTTCTAATTATAAATACCATTGATAAAGCACAACAGTAAAATCAGTATAGTGAGTTCTTATAAAACATAATTATGCTTAAAGAATAAAAAATGGAGGGTAACAATTGTGTATGTTTTAATTCTTCTATGGCACAATTAGAATGTGAAGCAGTGTTTAATTCTACATCATGAATTTCTCATGGAGCAAACATCTGCATCTCTATAAATACTGATAGTCCTTTTTTTAGCAATCACAATTGGACCAGCAACTCAGTTGTTAATTGAAATGGTTGCTAAGCAAAATGGTGATTGTGGTTATGATCTTATTTCAGCTTTTCTTTGCTATATAAACCTGCAGAGATCATAAATACAACAACTGGCTGCAAAGTTACTTTTTCATCACTGCTATAACTATGAATGGTTGTTAAACAAGGCAATCACTAAAGAAGTATACAAAGTAAACCCAAAATTCTAGAATTTTATTTTTAGTACATCAAGCTAGTTAGTTTGATCTAATGCTATATTCTTATGGTACATGTTAAATCTATATGAATAGATTTCTGGAGATGGTGATCATAATTTTTAACTACATGATAAAATCTATACATACCTTGTTCTTCATAAACAAGGCCCATATTAGAGTGTGCTTCAGCTTCTTTCTTCCCACCATCAATTTTAATTAGTTGAGCAGTTTTGTAACATTGTTCATAGAAATAATTCCTTAACCATCTGTCTTCAAGCTTGTTGAAGCAATAGGCTAAGTTTAGTTGATTAGAATAAACCTCTTCATAGTTTTCTTCAATGAAAAGAAAATGATTATATCTTAATAATATTAAAAAAGCTGTATAATTTTTGTTTTTATTTAGGTTTTGCCATACTATAAAATTATAGCTATATAAAATGCTATTTGGGGCTGTACATATTGTATATAAGCAGCATTGCATATGCACAGATTTCTATAAAAACACATTTGCTCATATATATTTCAAAATACCTTCTGTGTCGTTTCTCTATTTACACCGTTAATTAACATATCATCATTCCAGTTCCTAATTGATGTTTCCTTGTCTCATACACTTGTTACAATTGATTAGGTGGTATGACCAATATTATTTTTAGTATCCCACTTCACCAACACCTCATTCTGGTTTATTAATCTACAGCATAAATAGGAAGGAGTTAGCTCAACATCTACTAGCTCTCTGGATGATTTCTTCATTTGTAGGAGCAACAACAGTAAAACTATATCCAGTCCCAAAACAGATTTAGGTGCAGCAAGTATTTAACTCAAACCTGATGTTGAAACAAATTCCTGAGCTATTTATTCAGAAGTCTATAATGTCACCCCACCTATTTTCAGCTTTAGTTGGTTACACATCAGTATTTAAAATACAATCACAAGAAATGTGTGATTACCACAATAGAACATATTGTTTAAACTTTAAACATTTCTTTGCTCTATCTTCTCACATATTTTTTTCTTTTGCATTTAGGAGATCTCATGCTTATCTATCTTCATATGTTCTTCTTGGTACTTTTTGCAATCTACTGCAGTTTTTGGTTAATAGAAAAATGGTTCAATCTAAATTGCTATTTTTTCGTCTACAGAAATAATCTCCATCAACTTTATTACTTAGAAGAGAAATAAAATAGTTATGAATTGAAGCTGATATGAAAAACATACAGAAATAGATATTAAGGCTATCTCTCTCAATAGCATATACAGTTGGCAAAAGTTCCATGGAATTATCGAAACCTTAAGATCTGTCAACAATGCTAAATACTAGATCAAATGGTGCCACCACAAACCAACTTTAGAAAAAAGAAAATTTATGCATATATATAAAAGCATGGTTTTTAATATTATATAGTGCATTCCACATTATAGTTTCAGTCCTTATAGTTATTCACCAAGCACATGGAGCAGAAAAAGATGTTAAGTGATGTTATAACTGTATTATTTGGAAACAGATAAAAGAAGAAAAGATAAACAAGGAATATTTCTAATTTGAAGAAAGCATGATTCAGAGATTAAAATTATTCTCTTTCCTACTGAATAGCAAAGCAATAAACTTCAGTAAAATTATGTAAATAACTTGAGGTAAGTACCCTACAATTCTCAAGAGATGAAAGTGACCTGACGCTGGTTACTGTTACTGTCGCAGTCTTGATTGAATGAACTTTAATGTGACCCTATACTATTCTAGTGTCTACCCACTCAGTGAATAAGAATAAGCAGTGCACCAAGACAACCATTTCAATGTAATTGTTTTGGACACAAACTGGCCAAGTGGGCTGGAATCACATGAATAAAGCAAAGAAATGTTAAAACATTCTCTTTTAAAATGACTCTATTTTAAAATATAGAAACCTCAGAAACATTTTTGTTTTCAGACAGCATTGGCCCTATTACATTTAAAATTATTGTAGTTTTACTTAATAGATATATTAGCTAGAATCAATTTCTTCAATAATCTATGCAATTATTTGAATTTCAATCCCCAATCATTTTATAATTAAATACCTTGAATTACAACATTACAACGATGAACCAAATAAGTACCTTGAACAGTTTTATAGTTCTGCAGATATACCTTAAACCATCATGTACCACAGTAGTACAAAATGAAACTATGTTCAGACTGAAAATATTAGGGTAAACTGGGAAAATATTTCTAGGAACTTAATGGCATGTAATGCCAAGGGTCAGCATATAGCACCACAATTGTTATAGCTACACTATCCACTGAGCTAACAGTAGTAAAACAATTTTAAAAATCCAAGAATTTAAATACTAAATAGGTTGTCTTTTCCTCAAACATCTTTAAGCACCATCTCCGATGTAACATTACCACACTGAAGGCAGGTCCTACTTACCTTAAATGTAGAATAACTATTGGAAGAAAATAAAATGTAAAATTGTGTTGGCTCAAATAGACTTTACTCCCTCCACCCCACTTTTCAAGAACCAAATGCAACTGAAAAAAGAGAAGTAGCCCACGTAGCCTGCAAGGAGCCTCCTCTTATCTGGTTACTCCCTGTTGCTGCTGGCCATACCACAAAGATTTTACGTAGGCAAGAATAACTTTCCTAACTAGAGGGTTTTTCAGTGTTTTCTGGAAGACAGTACTGAAACTTTTTGTATTAGACAATTAGCAAATTCCAAGATTTTAATTTAGTGTTTTTGAACTGAGAGAATGATAATCTAGAGTTGGAAGTGGGGGGATAACGTCCTAATAAAATTTAGGTATCAGTTGCTATCCCTTTCTAGACTATGGCCTGCTGTTTGGCTAAGTCTTCAATGCCTTCTTGAGAGAGGCTCCCTTGATTAAGACCATATAAGACTACTCTTATATAAGAACCATATAAGACTTTGAAGATGGTAACAACTTCTGACCTCCTGCCGGCTTCCCCACTGAGTTTCCGTTTAGGAAGCTGGCAGAAGCATCAGAAATCCTTCCTTCCTTCCCTCCCCCCTTCTGTCTTGAGAATCCATGAAATAAATATGAATAATATGAATAAATTTGGCTTGCTGATTGGGATCTGGTGTCTGATGCAATGATGAATTTGCTCTTGAATAATCACAGAATAATTCCCTCCATTCCTCATTGGGAGGACTTTTTTTGGCTCCAAAGGATGCCATTTGAAAGCACCACTTGTACCGTCTGATGTTCTTCCTGAACCCATTTGCAATAGTTCATCATTGTTACATAAACTGAGGAGTACATTAGGTAGAGGCTGCAAATTGCTTATCCTAATCTTTCCATATAGCAGAAATTAGCAGTTTCTTTAGGGAATAGAAACGCGAGACAGTGGGGGCAGACTTTGGCCATTGCACCAACATCAGAAATTTTATGTTGTGCAAATCATGCATTTTGCCTCATTTTTCTCTGTTGAAAGAAAGGCAATGTTGAGGCAAAATGCATGACTTGCACATACGTTTCTTGTTGTTAAAGGCGGGTATTATTATGTTGAGAAACTCTCATGATAATTTGTGCTTGCCGCATATTCTTGCCTTTCCCTTAATCTTCTCTTTCCAGCTTCATTTTTTCTCATCTCCTCATTGTTCTTTTTCTTGTGATTCTGGAGACATGGGGCCACATAAGTTGGGTGTTATCTCTTGACCATGATGCCCCCACAATAGTGGCTGGTAAACTGTCATGCAACATTCAGAATGAGCATCACATGCAGCAGCAGCAGCCTGATAAGGACAGCACTTGAAACAGCCATAACTTTTCCAAATTTTATTCCCTTGGGCATCATGGGTTCCAAATTTTGGGCTCATTCTGTAGGTTAGCTCATTTGAGGTATCTTGGTTCAAAAATTGTTGCCCTATGATGCACTGTCTCGCCCAGTTAGAGGTCATGACAATGAGTGTTTCAGTAGTATATAGATAGGTTTAATTAAAATACATTTAATGTTACTTTTTGTTTGATCCTCTGCCTTTAGTCTGAGATGGTATATAAAAGTTTTCTTAAAAGAATTTGGTCTTTCGCTTCTATATATTTCATAATCACCTGGGAAAATCATTTGGGAAACTAAAAGTTTTCAAATTACAGAATATAGAATTACAGACACTTAGCTAGATTGCAAAAACCTAAACAATCATTAAATTGCAGTGAAAAGCTATGGTTTCTGTATTTTTTCTTTATAACCTAAGTGGTTGTCTGTATTTTTTCTTTTTTTTTCTTTTTTCTTTGCAGCCCAAGTCTGGGTGCCGTATTAGAAATTGAGAAACAAATTAAATCGTGTCTTTCATTCAAATGTATGTAAGTGTTTTCTGGCTTCAGAAATGTAGCTGGTTTCTCTAGGGTTTTGATTTATTAGAGGGGATTCTATGCTACTGATTAGAGGGTTGAATATGGTGGAACATAGATAATTTTTTTTAGAAAATAAAGTAATATTATAATTGAATAGGTAAGATGTGTAATAAGACTAATAGATTTTCGGTTTAATATGGTGAAAAATAGATAATTTTTAGAAAATATAATAAGATCAAGGCTTTTTTTGTCATAGAACGCCCAGAACGGAGTTCCGGCACCTTTTTGGGATGGAACCTTGTAGGGTAGGCAAGGCGGGTTGTATGACGTGTGTGAGTTCCGACACCTTTTTTTTTTTTTTTTTACAAAAAAACACTGAATAAGATTATATGCAAATAGATAAGATGTGTATTTAGAATATTAGATTTTGTTATAAAAAGGGGGAAATGTAGAAGTTGAGATAAGGGAAACTCTGGTCACCTAAAGTTTGGAAATTATAACATACCAAATGTTAAGTTGAATATTGAGGGGAAATTAAAGCCTGGGGAAAAAAAACAATAACAGGACATTGATGTATATACATTGATGTATATACACAATTAAGATATGTATAAGTTAAAAATATTGATAAATGTAACAAAATGATTTTACTTAGTTGATAACAATAAGAATTATATTAGTTCAATATGAGATAGTAGATATTAAGAGAAAAAGAGAGGAAATATCTGATGATGTAACTTGAGATTTGTGCCAAAGATTTATGTATGTTATGGAATTATTGATTACCTAGCCACCATGTTGCTTTTAAAGTGTTTAATTGTAAAATTAGAAAACTAATAAAATATTATAAAAAAAAGAAACGTAGCTGGTTTCTATACTATTTAAATTCAGAATTTAGTTTTATAGTTAAAATGATAACTATCTGACATTAATTTGCAAAACCTGCCTATACAGTATAGTTTCTATGGGGTTCCTGGTACCATACGATAACTAGCCTTATGTCCTATCTATTCCTTACACCAGAGGTAGGCAATCTACTTTTCTCTTTCTCATTTGAAGTCTTAATGTTAGTCATTCATTATATATTTTAATTTCAGAACTGACAATCATATTGTCTTTTTCAGAATGATGTGAGGTTTCTTTTTTCATCTTTCTCTGTCAAGCAGTCTTGATGTGTTTTTTCAGTTATTCATCTAGCCTCATATTTTCCTATCTTATGGCTCCTATTTCAGCACATCAACATGAATTATATTTTGTTAAAATTAGGATATTTAAAGGTGTGCACCAATATACAGCCATGCTGCCTGAAAAGCAATATTCAATGACATGATTATGAAGATTACAACTTAAATGAAACATGTTAAGAATTTACATTTCAAAGAATAAAGAAATACATGCAATGTATAAGAAATAAATTTGAAAAGCTGCTATATTTATCTGAAAATTATGATGTTTTAAATTTTAAAAAGCAATATCTTAAACAATGACTTTTCAAGAAAAGTGATAATTGAATGATGATAGCATGAATACATTGAAAGCATCCTAATCACTTCATTACAGAGATTCATCTTGTTAGCAGAACGTCTCATTCCTGCGTTGGGATTCATCATTTCGAATTCCCCATCATTTACTCCAAAAATACAGCTTAGCCGACTAAAGCTGAAAAAATGCTATTTCCAGAAGAGTCTCAAACTCACACATGAAACAACTGAAATCTTCCCTGAGGCACACATTGCTGCTCCATTACCCAGAATTCCCCTATTTACCTGATTGCTGGGCTGCCTCAGCTCTGGTCAGGAAATAGTGAAGCTGATCCAGCTTATCAGGCTGCTCCTCCAGGGATTTTTCCAGCCATATGGCTGACCCAGGCCCTGAAGCCTCCCTCAAGGCATTCCACTGCTCTATCAGAGTAAAGAGCTCTGCAAAAGACTTGTGATAACCCTGCTGCAGCATGTCTAGGCAGATGTTCTTCTTGTATGAATTCCGGTAACTGGGGATTTGAAAAAGCTGGTTTTAATTTTTTCATTCTTGATGATAATTTCTCCCTAAAAAACTCACACAATATACAAACATGATTAAACATGCAAATATGATTAAAAGGTAACGCAGTGGTTGTTAAACCAGTTCTTTATTTAATAAAAATGCCAGGATGTTTTTGAAAGAGACCAAAAGAAAGCTACAGTAGCTCTAGTTCTACCAAAAATTATATTATAAGTCTTCTACAATTGAAATCATATAGGAATGTCAACTGAATTAATTCATTAAAAAGCACCACCTAAAATTGCTGATGTATATTTTCTAGGATGCCTCTTCAGTTATAAAAATATGCTTGAAGGCATATTAACTCCAGCAAGATTAGACAGTATGATTATTCAACTTTTCTGAGAAGAAGAACAATCACACCACTATGTGACTGCATACTCACATCTGTGAGTTCACCAAAGATAACAGAGGTACAAAACATTTCATTCATTTCTCAGTGTATTGATTCAATTTACAGTCATGTACCAAACTATAGAAAGAAAAACAAAATGGAAAAGAGAAAACCTTTTTGGTTATTGTTTAAAAGATGACCAAAAGAAAAGTAAAAAACTGGACGCAATTTAAAAAAATCTGCTGCAGGATATTTCTCTTGTTGAATCTAAATTTGGCTTCTGACTTTAAAGACAACAAAGCAAAAATTGGCCATTGCAATAAGTAGGATTACACTGAGCAGCCAGTAGTAATTGATTTAAAAAAGGGCTGTAAAGTCCTGGAAGTCCACTCAAACAGGTGTAATGTAGTGTAATGTAAAGTGTAAAAAAACCCTTTCCCTAATATCTGTGTAATTTTGAATTACAGAATGAAGTCATAAGCCAGGGGTATCAAACTGCCGGCCCACGGGCCAGTTTCATCATACCGGAGCCGCGCCCACCCCATTGCTGGCAATGGCGAAAAAGCTCCGATACGTCACGTGACGTCGCGAGTTTGACATGCCTGCCATAAGCAATTGGCTTATGACTGCAATTGGGATTGAAGTTACTATTGTTAAGCCAGGTGGTTGTTAAGTGAATCGCACCCAATTTTATCACCTTTTGCCATGGCTGTTAAGTGAATCACACCAGATGTTTAGTGAAACATACGGTCATTAAGTGAAACCGGCTTCCTTCAATGACTTTGCTTGCTGGAAGCCAGCTGGTAAGGTTGCAAATGGAGATGGTGTGACCCCAGGGCGGTGCAACTGTCCTAAATATATGCCTGCTGCCAAGTGCCCAAATCTTGATTGGGCAACTACAGGAAAACTGTAACAGTTTTAAGGGTGAGGACCAGTCATAAGTCACTTTTTTCAGTGCCTTTGTAACATTGAATGGTTGCTAAATGAATGGATGTAAGTCGAGGACTACCTGTACAGATATTTAATTATTGTGAAGTGGGGGATTCTGTAAGAAATATCAAAGAAATTGGTATTGTAAATAAATATAATTTGATGTAATTATACTCTTTTCTGTTACTTAGCATATTTGTTGTATTTGGCTTTCATGATTAATTGTAAACCATATATAAATACTATTAATTATTTACTTTGGTAAAATGGAGGAGGGAATGGATTACAAGGAACCAAACCATTATTATTTTTTATAGTACAAGCTAGTACAAGAAGTAAACTAGAAGTCAAAATAAAAGAGAAAGATGCAAAAATAAGCATGAAACACAGTTGGAGTGGGCATTATTTTGTGATTGAACCCCATAATAGGTATATCTGGTGGGGAAGGCTGTTCTGCAGTGAACTTCCCCCATTTTTATAGCCATGTTGAGTTGTAAAGCGAACAAGTCATGATAATGATTTCATAATTTTAATATATCAGGATCAGAGGCTATACATTGAAAGAGCTGGAGATATGCAAGATGAATCAAGCCAGTATACAGAAACTCTGGTGTTTTGTTTTGCATCCCATTAAAGCCTAAACTCACTGCAAGGTAATTCTGTGCTCATTGAAAAAGAGCATTGTACAATTTTTAGATCTCACAAGCTGAGAATCTCGCATTTTTAGGAGTTTCTCCCATGCTTCATAAAGTAATATACCACAAGGTACGTGCAAAATTGTTAAAATCTCATAACCTATTATGGTCCTGTTGGTAAACATTCATTTCCAAAGTGAAATAATATCCTGTTAGTTATACTATGTAGCTAAACTTGAAAATTAATTTTAAAATTATGTTTTATAAATCAATAACATTTAATGAAATTAATGTTCACAAAAATTGTCTCCCAAAACAGTTTTTCAATAATTATAATGGCCTCTGGGGGCCTCTACTGGAAACATAGCAATACTGCAGTTAAATATTACTATTTAAGCAATTCTAAAAATAAAATGAAAGTTGTTGAATAAAAACAAATATATGTTTCCATACATTGGGTGTGTTACTCAAATATTACTTCCCTGTGGATGTTCCTACTAAATTCAAAATGACTGAATCCATTATTAAAATGTTAGATAAATGAGTGTTATAGCAATTTCAAAATTACAGTTGCTCTGAAAATAATTATACATTTTAATTGATATTTTGGTGTTTTAAGGCAAAATTAAAAATGCAAATATATAAAGAAACCACTCCAGTTTATTGTACAATCTTGGTGTGCCTCCAGAATGGAGAGGATGGCAAACATGTAAAAATAATAATAATAAAGCCACATTGCAGACAATGTAGGTATTCTCATACAGAACTTACTGTATTTGCTGTGATGGCCAACTACTGATTTATTGCCCAAAGAAAATAGTTAATATGCTGTCCAAACTCAGTGTAATGCAGGTGATCTTACAGTTGTGCAAACTAAAATTTCATTATATATTGATAAGCCCTTGACTTATTTTATTTATTTGTATCCCATCTTTATTATTTTTACAAATAACTCAAGGCAGCAAACATATCCAATACAGTTTCCTCCTCCTATTTTCCCCACAGCAAAAGCTCATAGGGTGAGTAGGGCTGAGAGATTGGCCCAAAATCACCCAGCATGCTGTCATGGCTAGGCAGGATTTGAACCCATGATCTCCCACATTCTAGCCTGGTGTCTTAACCACTAATCCAAATTGGCTCTCAATCTTATATTGGTCTCTTCAGAGTTCATTATTTAAAAAAATGGGTTGAGCATCACCAAAACAGAATGATTGCTATTTAGTCTCTCTGTTTAATTGCAATTTGTATGTTGTTCTTTTCCCCTGCTTCAGCTATGTGCATAATTTAATTATTTATATTTGCCAACATGTGTAAGCTTTTTCAATAAAAAGATAATACTGTACTTTCTAAGTTTAAAAAGTTGGGCCAAATCTTTAGATATAAAGTCTAAAGCGTCTGTACCTATGTAACTGCAGAAAAGTACAAGATAAAACTATTATAAAAACATATTATTTATTCAAATTCTTAAATGGTCAATATTTCAGGAACTACCTATTTGGCAGTATTCTTTAATTGGAAAAAATTCTTAGTTTGCACTAAGAAATCCATAACTTTATAACTGTTGTGTTTGTATATTGATCTTAAGGTTGCAGAATATATAGAGCTGTGCTTTCTATAAATTTAATATTAGAATAAATTCATTATTCAAATTTTATTTAATGTCTAATGGTAGCGGTATTACTTAAACCATTTTTAAAAATAAATATTTTTAATGTAATAAGCTGTTTGATCAGGTAATGAAATATTTTAATAATAACATACATTGGATATTTGCTTAATTGGGTATTTATTGTAATTGTGAACAACCACTTTCATATTACAAATCATATTTTTTTTTACTTTTACCAAATATAAAATTGAAAAAAATGAAACTTTTAGCAATAATGTTGAATTGTCTTTATTTTTTAAGATACATAGTAAAATGGTAAGGAATTCGGCATAGAGTAAATCCAGTTGTTTTTTTATTTTCATTCTAAATATTGAATAAAATCTTTTTTAAACATATTTTTATTAACTTTAATGGTTACTTAGCTTAATCTTTGTTTCAGAAGAAAGATAATGATGCTTAAATTAAATAATGTATAAATATGAATATTAGTAATATATCTTATACCCTATTTTGGCTTTTGTAACCATGTGATTGCAGAATACTACTACAGAAATGTAGGTGCCAAATTGACATCTTTCATAAGCATATTCTTAGCAATCTACTGTTTGCAATGCAAGCAATATATATATTATACTATATATGGTGTTTTAGAACATTCTATTTTTAAATAACATATTTACTAATTAATAACTCTTTAAAATTGGGAAAAAAATTAAAGTTTGATTGTGACATAAGCCTTTGTGTACTAGATTTTATTTTACATGTTATTTACCAGATGGCTGGTAGACACATACATATACAGAATAGCATTTTGGTGACAGAAAATTTTCAAAATGCTGAAAAAATTGTGAAATATATGGAATACTATTCGTAGTGCAATCCTATTTCTACAAAATAATAAATCCCACTAAATCCAATGCATTTTATTCTCTATAACTGTATGTAACATTACAGTTTTATTCTGAAACATTTCAATGCAAAGTCTAAGTATATGTTTTTATAGTTTCATTTAGCAATTTATTTAGAAAATGTAGTTTATAGCTTAAAATATAGTTTAAAACTAAGGACGGTATCCTGCCAGTGGTTAATCATGTTTCCAAAAAGATGTCAATGATTTTAATTAAATCCAAAACTATTATGAATTCTAAGTAATTTTATATTGGAATCTCCCATTGAAATTCAGAAAGAAAATTCAAAAACTATGGTTTTGGAAAGAAAGCCTTACACTTCATTGGCCTGGTTCATATGCAGAAATAAGGAAATGAGGAAATAAGGAAATGAGGAAACAATTATATCAGTTTTGGTATTAACTGCTTTTGGTATTAACTGCTTAACTAATTATAGTTTTCTATGATATCTGAATTCAGGAAAAAGTGCTTGTTTACATTCTCTCATGCAAACAAAATGGATAAGGGGTCTATGGTCTAAATCAGGGGTAGTCAACCTTGGCTCTTTTATGACTCATGGACTTCAGCTGGGCTGGCTCAGGAATTCTGGGAGTTGAAGTCCACGAGTCATAAAAGAGCCAAGGTTGACTACCCCTGGTCTAAATTCAGTGTTATGAGAACAGAAATCTGGTCCTGCAACAGATTCACTCCTCCATACCTTCTTCCATACATCCTGCAAAACCACTTTCACTGAAATTCAACATTATATTAAAAGATGGACTACTGTTTTTTTAAAGAGGGGAAGCTTTTGGACTATCGTACTATGTAAGGCAAACATCAGGGAAAAAAATACTACATATGCAGTCACCAATAGGACAGTTCCTCTTAGATTTTCATGTTGAATTCTTTTTGTAACATACAACGGGGCAAAAATCAGTCCAAAGGAGTTCAGGGGAAGATTAAAAAGCAGAATTTCTGTGTAGCCCAGAAATTTTACTCCATAAATTCCAGACTAAGCAAATTCCCATTTGTATTTAGTATCACTTCACAATGAACTTTTCCATAGTATTCTATTTACATGTCTTTATATTTCCTGCCAAGTACCAATGAACTATTGAAAAATGAAAGGAGAAAACTATAGGCTTAAACTTAGCAAAACAATTTATATAAATAAGTAAACATTCAGGATTCTTCTTTCCTAAAGTATGACTTTTATTTCATATTTCCCAGAATCTGATGAGTTTTTGCAAGTAAAATTCTGTTTTCTCTACACCAGCTAATAGTCATGAGAATCTGTAGTTTGCACCTTCCCATTAAAAATGTATTGCATTTTTTGAAATTATTCACCCCGCCTTTTATCCAGATCATGTCTTTGAAAGGAAGAAATAGATAATAAATGGAATTATTCATGATTTCCCATTAAATATGAAACTTTCTTTTGCAGAGTTTAGAAAATGGAACTTCTACATAATGTACTGAAGTTGATTAGAACTTTTTAATCTCTCAAAGAAAATATTCCATATTACAAAAATGCATAGAATATTTTCTAAAAGAAAGTAAACTATTTATCTCCTCCACAATCATATTCTTTAGCATTCTCTTAAGAACATTACATCATACCAAAGAGTAGTGTGGCCATGTTTTTGAATAGAACTGTATTCCTTTCCCTGTTTCGAAGGAGATATTAACTCACAAAGAATGTTGGTTAGTGGAAACACAGAATCTTAGTCAGAACAAGCAAGATCACTAAAAAAATATTAAAATAATAATATACCCATATACAATATTAACATTGGAAGGCATTCAAAAAAATCATAATATATTTTTTATAATAATGTGTATTTTTTTTACTGGACAGTATCATTTCAGCAGTGAGTTGAATGTGTTATTAAAATATCCTATATATTCAAAGTAAACAAACTGTATAGATTTTTCTGTAGCCAAAATTGTTCCAAACATTTATAGAAATTCAAAAATCATTTTCCCTTTATAGAGGAAAAATAACCCAATAAAGACAAAATAAGATACTAGTTTATTCCTAAAAAGCATACATGTTCTTCACTTTCTGTCATATCAGATATTAGAAGAGCAATTTCTGAAGAATCTTTGAGAGCATCCAAGGTTGGGGAGAGCTCATTCAGCCATGGGTATTATATTGTATATCTCGAATGTACAGAAATAAGATACAAATGTTAATTCATTGGGAATAGGGGAAATCTAATTAAAAAGCACTGAACCTTGGATGACTATAGGGACAGTAATTTTGGTAAAGACAAGTAAGACTGCAATCTTAGAAGTACATTTGTGTAACAATAAGACTTGCTCCTGAATAAAGACATGCAATGTATTTATGGAGCAGGTCTTAGTTGACTAGTTATCAAATGTTTAATCCACATTAATAGATTAATTCCATGAGGGCATCCTGAGAAAGAAATGTCAATTAATTTCAAATAAGGGAATGCAGATTTGCAGCTAAAAACTGAACACAAAAAACAGAGGATTATTCAGACTTAACTTTTGATTTCTTCATTTTATAGAATTTGCAATTTCACATCCAGGCCATAACGAACTGGATGTTATGTTTTGTACATCTACTGTGTAACCTGTTCTAGGTGAAGACATTTTTTTAAAGAAAAATTTCGAGAAAGGTTTTAAAAAATGGAAGTCACAGCTCCTGAGTGTAATATATATCAGCAAAGATACATTGAAGAATAATTACTTGTAGATCTATTATTCCACTGCATCGAAATATGGGAAGACAATTATACATTTCTTATTTGAATAATTTACTTGCAAAAAGAAAAGGGTTGATTTTGAACATTTCAATATAGTTACCAGGGATAGTTTTAAATTTGTGATCCCATAATTATTTACTTGAGAATAAGTCTCATTGAGTTAAATGCTTCTAAGCAGAAATGTATGAATTGTAATATTTTTATTGCACAAAATCTTTTCAATGAAGGCTGACATGATCTTACAGAACTATGGTCTATTATTAGGAACTATTCATACTATTATTCATTGGGTATGAAACCCCAGCTCATGTTGGAACCCCAAATTATTCTTCTGACACTGCTGTGATGGGAAGCCTACAAAAGATGTCCCAGCCACCTTGATGCAATTTGTCTTTTCAATGTGAAAACCCTAAGAGTTGTGAAGGTAAAATGATGGCATGTTGGCAACTTTGCAATTGGATTCTTTTTTGTCAGCACTGTGATCGTTGTTGCATGTTGCTACAGTGGCTGGATTGGGCAAGTGAGACAGACAAATTCTAAACAGTAATCCAGAAAGAAAAAAAGGCTTATAGGAACAAAACTGAAGCTGAAGCTCTATGGGTGGGAGTAGAGAAAGAAACAGAGAGAAAGAACAAGGTTAGGAGATAGATTGAGGGAAGAATTTACCACAGTGGGAAAATGCCACAAATAAAGATTACAAAGCTATAGCAAGGCAAAGAATTTACCATTTTTGTTCAATTTCCAATAAACTATACTAGAGTCAGAAATCAATCGGTTCAGCTCACAAAACCAAAAAATATAGAGAGATAATCAAATCTACAGTTGATCCTAAGGTGGTCCAGATATGAGCACAGGGGTACCCTTAGCAGTCTCTCATCAAAAGCTTTGAAGATTTTTATTTTTCAAATAAGAGAGCATTTTTGCCCTATGTCCTCCATAATATGCAACCTGAAGCATGATCAAAGGGAATCATTTGGGACTCCATCAAAGATTTTCTTATCAAAAAAAGGAAGAGGGGAAAGGCAGAGGGCCAGAGTTGTATAGTTTATTGATGGGTCCATGCAAGTTATTTTTCCAGAAGCCAAAGAGGCATACATTCAGGCTCTGGTATTGGACTTGATAGAAATCATAAAAAACTTAGAAGCCCAAATGATCCTCAAAAGAAATGGCTTTCTATTATATGACTGATTATGTCAAACCAGAGCTTTTTGAAAGTTCTTTAGGGTTCAAGAGTACCCAAACTCCAGCTTGTTTTAAAAACAAGGCAATGACTATTATTAATGGCAGAGTGCATAATGCAGATAATACCATGAAAAGAAAAGAGACTGTTAAAAAATAGCCGCTCCAGGTTTGCCTGCTTAAAAACAGAACCATATTTAATTTTTAGTGATCTTTCTTTTGCATGTATTTAAAGTATCAATGGCTAAAATAGCAATTTCTGAACAGAAAATGAATTACTGCTATAGTTTCAATAGCACAAGCAAACAAGAAACACTTTTGAAAATGACTAACACTAAAATGTTAAGTACATAATTTTAAAATGTTATACAATGCATTATCTATTTTGCTATTGCATGAAATGATTCTTCTCTTAGAAGTTTTTAAATCTAGCTTTCGAAACACTAGTGAATTTTATAGAGTCAACTTTGCAATCAGGCGTTATGTTTTGGAAATAAAAGTTCATTCTTGAACAGCTTCTAAACATCCATGGAAGAAAAATACATATTTTAATGGCTAATAGATAATCAAATGCTGTAGGTGGTTCAGTAAACCATTTACCAAACACAGTCTTTAATATATGCAAGATAAGTAGTGTGAAACATAATTATTTAATATCAATTTTAATTTTTAAATGCTATGTTCTTCTGAAAATTGCCTGAGGAACTTCAAATATCAATGAATAACACTAGAAACAAAGAAAATAATAAAGTTGTAGTGTAAAATTCTCAGAAAGATCTTACTTACGCAGACGCCTCTTGTTTTGACAATCCTTTGATATGCACGGCCAAGTAACGATCTATGGCATTTTTTCCTTTGATCAAATGCATCCTAATTTTTTTAAAAATAAAGAATATTGAAAGATGGCTTAATATTACAATATGCTCTGCATATTAGGAACTAAAACTATCTCTCGCTCAGAGAAAGGCAGGTATATATTGAAATTGATGAATTCAAACATATTATAAAAACTAACTCTCACTCAGAGAAAGGCAGGCATATATTGAAATTGATGAATTCAAACATATTATAAAAATGTATAAATATAATTTATTTTTTTAATCTAAATCTGTCTCAAATCTTTATTTTTTGTAGATTAATAAAAGTAGCTTTAGGAAAAAAACATTCACTGCTTCCATGTTCGTTGTCCATTTAGCAAAGCTTATTACATTTGTCCAGGAATGAATTTGCTTTCTTAAGTGAAATACTGTAATAACAACTGCCAAAGGATATTGTCTTAGACAAATTATAAAGTAGAACAGTTGTGTAGCATTAGCTGTGTGTAAATCTTAATAGAATATTCCCTTGGTGGGTGATTCTCAAGTTCAGGAAAAAGGTATCAAGTAATCTATCCACTCTAGATGAAATTCCATTTTCCTTTGAGAAGTACAGTATATATATATTATATATATACTTCTCAAGTATATATATATACAGTATATATACTGCTCAAAAAAATAAAGGGAACATTTTACCATGGAACTGAAGGGGTTTGCGTTCCCTTTATTTTTGTGAGCAGTATATATAATGTGAAATAAAATAAGGTGATCACCAGGAGAAAATCATAAACACAAATGTTTAATCTACAAAACCAAGCTTTCGTCGGCCACATTACCGACATCGTCAGGGTGTAAAATGCTGGATCCGGGAGTCTGTTTTTATGTGGCTGGCTGCCTCTGCGGTTTGACCCTGGATCAGGTCATTGGTCCGTTCATTAGCATTGGCTGTGTAGTTCTTAAAGGGGCCGTTTCTAAAGTTGTCCTCTCATCTCCAATTGCTGTTGTTTTCTTTGTGCGTGTGTGGGTGCCTGGACATCCGCTGTTCATCCGCTCCCCGTCATCTCTCCCCACCCCCTCATTCATCTTAGTTTGCCTCTGTATTGCTGCGCTATCTAGCATCTGTGGTTCAAGCTCTTCAATGACCCGATCCAGGGTCAAACCGCAGAGGCAGCGGTTTGGACTTTTTAAAAAATGCTGTGTTGTATGTTTTATAAGATTACTAAAAGTAGTGAATATTTATAGAAAGAATAGTAATCTTATAAAACATACAACACAGCATTTTTTAAAAAGTCCAAACTTGATATACGTTAGCAATTCTTCTAATTTCCAAAGAAAAGTACAAAGGCTTATATAATCTCTCTATTGAAAAATATGGATTATTTTTTGATGTTCTATGGGTTTCCCATTAATGCAATGCAAAAATTGATACAATACTAAAAAAATTAACTGATTTTAATATTTATACGTAATATGTGTAAAGTTTCAAAATACTGTCCCAACTCTCACAATAATGGGCTTTATAGAATTCATCACAAGAGCACAATTAACAACAGTTGCAACTGAGAAGTTACAAATAAAATGAGGGAATAAAATGTATCCCCAATAATAGTTGTCTGAAGAAATAGAAAATTTAAATTAAATCTCTAGAGTATAATACACTGCACTATTAATAACTACTAGCTATTTATAAAAAGTGCAGTTTCAAAATGTCATTTTGAATTTTAAAACATGAAAATCTTTTTTTGATTCTACCTTTATAGTATATTCTTTATGTATATAATAATTTTAATTCAGAATACATAATTTAGACTCTTCCTGTGACTTGGTTACTATATTAATTTTTTTTAGTATTAATATATACTTTTATTTGAAACCATAGGTTTTAGCAAGATTGTTACTACCATATATTCTAATTATTCTATTATTAGAGTTTTAATTTCAAAGAATCACAAATAAATTGAAAAGAAAACTTTTTTTTTTTTAAAAAAAATGTATACCTTGCCAGAGACGGTGAAGTGCATCTCATCTCTTCCATACTTGGATGTGATTTGGGACTTTGTATAGGTATTTGAGGAAACATACTCATTCTGAACTAAATAAATATAGAATATTTTAAAAATTAGCATCAGATAGTTCTGTTTGCATAGACATTCATTCAAAATATTTGCTGACTGAAATAATTCAAACATACATTAAGATACCCTAAATCCCATCTGACAAGATATGATGGTAGTCTATGAATATATAATAACATCAATTTGACTAATGATATAAATGATGCATAATATAAACAAGGAGATGTAAAGTCATCCTCTGACTAGCCTCTGATCCATTGGACATTCCTAAATAACAGACACCCTTGCTCTCAATTAATTTATTAAAACATGTTTTCACTGTAATCCTACAAGCAAAACATTTTCATAATATTAGGAAGTTGAATTTAGAGATATAGCTTTTTTATATTAGAATTCAAATTATGATAGTGAAGAACTAAAGTTATAAAAGTTTTTTTTATAAAATCAATTTTGTCAGTACTTAAGAACTAAATTTGTCAATACTTAATTAAGATGAGTTAAATATACCACTGAAGAAAAGGAAATTGAGCAGGTAAAGACCTTCAAATATTTGGGGAAAGTGTTGCAGAATAATGGGCCATGAAAGGTCTATATTGACCATGTTATTTCACGAGCACACAGAAGTATAGTAGCCATTATGAAAATCAAAGGACAGGAAATACAGCAGACAAGGGGGAGGGAATACATACAAGCAGGAATACTGTGCTATTCTCAAATCACAAGAAAGGTGGTAGTTAAACTATAAAATATAAATTTTGGGAAGATTTTTTATTAAGTTTAATATTTAATCTATTAAGATTAATAATAGTCTATTTTACCATACTAAGGTGGTCCTCAACTTATGACCATAATTGAGCCCAACATTTCTGTTGCTAAGTGAGACAGTGGTTAACTGAGTTTTGCCTTATTTTATGACCTTTCTTGCCACAGTTGTTAAGTAAATCACTGCAGTTATTTAATAACATGGTTGTTAAGTAAATCTGACTTCCCCATTGATTTTGCTTGTCAGAAGGTTGTAAAAGGTGATCACATGACCTCAGGACAACCGTCATAAATATGAACCAATTGCCAAGCATCTGAATTTTGATCACATGACCATGGTAATGCTGCAACAGTCGTAAGTATGAAAAACAGTCATAAGTTATTTTTTTCAGTGTCATTGTAGCTTTGAACAGTCACTAAACAAATTTTTTATAAGACAAGGAGTACATTAAGTCCAAATTTTAAGAGTTCAATATTTTCTGTTTTGTATTTTTTTTTTAAATTATTTGCTAGGTTCCCTTACAGTATTGCTTTTGTTTTTGTTATTTTGATCAATGGTCATTGATCAAAATAAAGAAAATTTTAGATGATTTGTGGTACAAAATGTCTACTTGTACATTCTGATGAAAAGCTGCACTTAAATTGTAGCCATTACTAAAAATAACAAATTATGGATAAAATCAGTGCATATAAGAGTATTTAATATGTCAGTATACATTACCAATTAATGCCCTGCAATAATAACATAATATTATTATTAGTCTTGTATGAAATTGAATCAGCATTTATTTTAAGCAGAATAACATTAACAGTACAGCAAAACAAAGTAGTCATTTTAGAAGTCATACTGTAAATGGTAAAAGGATTTTCTTTATTTTTATGATACTGCGCTCTTTTCCAACATTACTTAGTTTATCCTTTGTACTGTTAAAGTTGCAGCTGCCAGTTCCTTCCTTTTGTACCTCTGTGATCTGACCATCTTAGCAGCAGAAGTACCCTTACTCTTAAATTTAGTTTAATGTAGGTATTATAAATCCTGTTGGCAGGCCTCAGGACACAAACATTTAATAGAGGCAGAAATATAACTCAACAAACCCCAAAGGGATATTCACTAATTGTCATAACTACTGTAAGGAAAGCTATAGTATTTCATTTTTTAAAAAGAACAAAATTTATCAGAAGGAAAATGTGGTTTCAAATGATGGAAAAATATGTATATATGTATGTATGTATGTATGTATGTATGTATGTATGCATGTATGTAAAATTAGTAATATATTTAGTTCAGAACTGGTAAATCTTTCTCCAATGAGAAAATTCCAGGCAAGTTCCAGAACCAACACAAATGTATCTGAAGTTAGGGAATGCCGGCAGTTCCTATCTCTTCCTGCCACAGCCATTGTTCCCCTTTCATTTTATTTTCCATTGTAATTTAGACAATTCTTCTTGCTCAATATCCTAATGGATTATATAGCAGCTGGTCAGCAACATTTCTTGGCTGTTATTATTTTTCAATTAAAAGATTCTTTATTAATTCAAATTTATTGAATTGATATCCTGCAGCAATACTCACAACTCCCAGTAGAATACTACATATGAAAAGAAAAAAAATTAAACCATCCACAGTAAAACTAAAATATAAACAAAGAGAAGAGAGAGAGAAATAGAGAAGCGTACATATGGCAAGAGAAGTAGGGCAGTAGGTGAAAATCACTGGAGTGGTTTCCAAAAACCCTTCAGTTTTCAATATATTCTGAAAGCCATCCACAAGAAGAATAACAATCCTGATCTATGCAGAAAGATCCTTCCAAAATATCAGCACAACATACCACTAAGCTCCTTCTGATCTTATGTCTCCTCATCTTCAGAAGTGTGGGATCATAAGGATTTTCTCCCACAATGCTCTAGTCAGTTAGGTTGATACAGGTTGGAGGAGACATTCCTACAAGTATGTCTGTTAAGTTATGAAAGGCTATATATGTTAAAATCAGGATTTTACATTGTACCTGGAATTGAATTGATAATCAGTGCATGGACCATAATATTTGTATTATGTGCTATAGTGTGTTGTGGAAAGACCTTGGGAGATGAAAGAAAGAACTGCCAACTAGACAACTCACATGTAAAAGATTTTTCAGCCCACAGAAAGAGAGTAGCCACAGGAAGCATTTCAGAAGGGACCCTCCCTAATTTTCTTGAGAGTTAAAAGTAAGAAAGGGGAAAATACTTAGTACTGCAATATTCTATTATTGCAACCTTAAAATAGAGTTAATGGTGTACTCATATTCATGCTTCTTATCTGGACTAACATGAAGAGCTAACAAATTATCATAGGTAGTTCTTACTGACTGCAATTGGGAGCAACAACTCTATTGCTGTAGAAGAAGGAATAGCAGAAAAATGGAGGTGGAGTGAAAAGAGAGATCAGCCTGGAATCCCTAGGGTAGTGACAAGTAAGCTAGGTCCAACTCCTCTTTGGTGCCATTGACCTTTATCTAACTCTAATCAGGTGCTGGCTGTTAGTTGAGAAGATTCCTAGGTGTAGGTTTTTAGCAATAAATCAACTTAATTGAACTTTTGCGTGTGGACTTGGCCTTTCATGCCCGACAGTTGCTGAGTGACATTTATAAAGTGAAATATCACAGCGCCATACCGATGTACGATGTCAGTTCTACCTGCAGTCATTAAGCTAACCACCTTTACCTCTATAATATCTCACCTTTTATTATTATTTTTTTGTACAGCTAAAGGAAATGTACATAATGCTCCCACTTTATATTTTTCCAGAACAACAACTTGTGAGGTGGATTGGGCCCAAAGTCATCCACCCAGCTTTCATGTCTAAGGAATGACTAGAACTCTCAGGTCCAGTCTCTCATTCAGCACTTAAAACTACTAGGCCTAACAGGTTCTACTGGATCAGTAAGACTGCAACAGGCATACCACTCAAATCTGGACAAAGGACAGTCTAATTGTGACCTCCACTAGCTGTTAAAGTAGGAGCCATTATTTCAGAAGGACCCCAAAACTGAGAATCTTCTTTACAGATAGTGCTTGCCCATCCAGAGACAACACTAGTGTTCATGGGGAACACTGGTGTACAAATATCAACTTCAGAATAATATTGTCTCTCATCCAGATCCTTATTGCTTTCAGCCATCCACATGGAACACTGACACCATCTCTCCTATAACGGGGGGATTTATAACTATTATCAGCATATTAATTCTACCAGGATGTAACTCTCTTTTGTCCGCTCCTGCAGGGGTTGAGCAGCCCTTCCCACTTTTCCCACTGAAAGAGAGCCTCCAAATCCCCAATCAATCCAACTTATTATTGCAGGATAACTCAGCTGACCACTTCAGTCCTACAAACTACTCTTTTATATACATCTATTCCTCCTTCTTGTGTCACAATACTAGAGCCTCTACCAACTACTAATATCTGATTGGCCTTATTTTTCAACACAGATGGTCTATCTAATCTCTGCTTGGTCTCTAAACCTTGGCCCTAAACCTTCTGACCAGGCAAATTAGTACTGGTGGTTTCCACCCTTGACCATGCTTTATTCTTAACTCACGTGCTACAGAAAGAAAGCCATTAGTCTACATACCAAGAGACAGAGAAAAAAATAGGCCATCCACCTGCCCAGAAGATTACTCTAAATATAATTTTCTCTCAGTGCTTAAGCATAAGATAGAGAGGTTGCATGATCTCATTTATGAACTCACCATGTATCTCGAAGGCTATCCTTCTTTTCACTGGAACAATGGAATAATTAGAAAAAATTGGGGTGGGTGGGTTAGAAAGGATGATGGAAAAGGCACATTTCTTTTCTCCATCAGAGAATCAAATACAAAAGCATGCAAACTTGTTTATTGTACATAAGTTCAATTAAGTGATTTAAATAATTGTATTGCAGCACTTAAGTGTTTTTTACTGTTATTTCCCAGGAAAGAAAATTGGAATTAAATCCAAAATCAGTTGTCTCGGTTGCTCTATTACACCCAATGGGCACCAGATACTATAGTTGCCCAATATTAATTAAGACACAGGCTAATTAGATTTTTCTGATAGGAAAAGTCCATGTAACAGAATATTTGCCATGAGATAGAATCAAAATAGAAGAAATGATGATGTATTCAGTTTTAAACTAAAATGGAAATACTGGCATAGAAAAAGATAATAATTAGACTATACTATTAAAGGAATACTTTAATAATATAGACTAATGAAGGAACTTTAATAATATAGTTTATTGAAAAATAAAAGATGTCGAATGAAAGCTAGGTAAAAATCTCAGAATAGGCAAAATATACAATGTATTCAAAAGTGGTAACATATTATCAAATATTATTCAAAATGCTATTCGGACCCACTATATGTTACAATAAACTTTAATCCCCACATAAAACAAAAACAGCCAGATCTCCCTAATAAATTTGGTTTACAATGTAATGAATCTTTTTAGCAGTGCCCCTCTGATGATTAAATTGTACTTCCATTATTTTTGTTATGGAATATTATTTTATCGTAGACTGTTTTCATTGATATTTTAATGGAAGACTATTTTTAATCTCATCTAGTCTACGACGAAGAAGAAAAGCGGGCGTTGCTGCCCCTGCTGGAAAAATCCCAGGCAGATCGAGTGATCTTATTCAGGAAACTGAAAACTGCGTTTTCTTCAGGAGTCACAGGCGGGCAGTTCCACCTCCTTCGTGGAAACTCCTGAAAGTCCGTGTTTGTAATGCTGCCACGCGTGCCTGCTGTAATGTATTGAGCTGAATTGCTGAGAACTGTTGAAAAAACGGTCACAAGACTGTGTTAGGAGCCAGACTTTCTTTCTCCAGGCTCATTAACTCCTGTTTAAGCAGGAGAGATCCTTGAATCCTATTGGCTGCCGTCTATTGCTGAGTGTATTCAGGGGTTCTCAACCTTGGCAACTTTAAGACTTGTGGACTTCAACTCCCAGAATTCCTCAGCCAGCTTTGCTGGCTGAGGAATTCTGGGAGTTGAAGTCCACAAGTCTTAAAGTTGCCAAGGTTGAGAACCCCTGGTATAAATAGAGGTGGAGCAGCAGTTAACAAGGCTTGTGTTTAAACCCAAATAGTTGCTGTTGTTCAACCGGCTGCCTCGTGCCTCGCCGATCCCGAAACACAACTCCTGCGGTATCTGAATGCCGCCCTTCGAGAGGGGTTCAGCATCCACGTGTAGGAGCCGCTTTCCCCACTCCCCTCCCGCTGCCTCCAGGCCGCGAATGTGAATCCTCAAAATAAAAGAGAAGGTCCTCGTTGCACTCGATGCTCCCCCGCCCATCTCCCGCATTGCTTTCTTTTCTCCGTTAGGTAAAACAGCGGCTCTACGTGGCGTCTCCCTTCTTCCCTCCTGCGCAACGGAGCAGCATTGCTGACCCAACAATGTCACCAAGGTCTCTTTACGCGCGGAGACACCCGCCCCGTTTCTAAATGCTGCGCCGGCACACGCACCTCAGTTTATAGGAATCCACTCGAGAAGAAGGTGGGAAAGGGCCACGCAGGAGCTGCCCGGAATCCCCCTGCCCGATGGCCGGCCTCCCTCGGGAAAGAAGGACGCTTCCTCGTTACCATGGTAGGGGGGGGCGGAGCCTAGGCGGCGGGACTCCCGAACGCTCCGCCCAGGACAGGCCGGCCCGTCTGACTCAGCGCTGCGTGGGGTTCCGCCGAGGCGCCTTTCGTCCGTGGACCTCGACTTAGACCAGTCTCGGAGAAGGTGCTCGCCGAAGTTGCATCAAATGGATGAAGCTGTTGCTTTAAATCAGGGGTAGTCAACCTTGGCTCTTTTATGACTCGTGGACTTCAACTCCCAGAATTCCTGAGCCAGCTTAGCTGGCTCAGGAATTCTGGGAGTTGAAGTCCACGAGTCATAAAAGAGCCAAGGTTGACTACCCCTGCTTTAAATTGTTGTCAGCGTCGCTAGCCATACCTGTGTTATCAACAATAAACAGCATTTAATGATCACCAGCATATGTTACTAAGAGTTTTATTATATATTTATGTTACTACGTTTAGCTTTTAATGTTCTTACTGATCTAGGAAGTCTGAAAGCTACTAGAATCAGACATGAACGGCACACCATAGAAGCCTAGTAAAATAAATTAACATCTGTATATTCATCCTTTATTGATTGTCATCCCGATGTTGTGGACTCTTAACAACCAGATATTTTCTCCGCGATGATCTGCCCTGTCTTGGTTCTTCAGGTCTTTTAACAGGGCCCCCATTGCCACTGTTACTCCATCAACTTTGTTAATTGGTTGTTCTCTTCATACCTTTCCATGTTTCCCAACACTGGAGCCTTTTCTAGAGAGGAGGGTTTTCACATAATGTGTCCAAAATAAGATAAATTGACCCTGGTCATGTGTGCCTAAAGTGAGAGATTTTGAGTTACTTTGTTAAATAATTCATCAGTTTGTTTTCTTGTCTGTCCATGGTATTCTCAAGAATCTTCTCCAGCACCAAACCTCAAAAATGCAATTCTCCTGCTGTCCTGTTTTGTCAAAGTCCAATTTTCATTCTTAGAGTGTCACAAGTAATATTATAGACTGCAGATGGGTGCAACAAGATCTAGAGATACTCTGAACAAATGGGGCTATCCAGGGCTTTTTTTGTCATAGAACGCCCAGAACGGAGTTCCGGCACCATTTTTGGATTGAACCTTGTAGGGTAGGCAAGGTGGGTTGTATGAAGTGTGTGAGTTCTGGCACTTTTTTTTTTTTTTTAATAAAAAAAGCACTAGGGCTATCTGTTGGCTTCTGCCCTTTGCAATTGTGATGAAATGCAGAAAACAACACATGTATATGTGATCAGTGTATACTTAAGGACCTCATGACAGCATAACAGACTGCAATTAATGTTGCTAGTTTCTGGGCAAGATCTGTTCAACTTGTATATATTTTAATCTTATATTTTTTATTTTAAATTTTATACTGTATACTATGCCTTATTTTAATTGTGATGCTTCTGACACGAATAAAGAAAATAGCATATCCCTTATCAAACTAATTGCAACCATCACTTCTTATTCTTTGATATGTGTAGTATATCTTAAATCATTTTTATGACTTTCTAATCTAAGATCAAAAGAAACTCATTTTTAAAAGTAATATTTGTTAGAGGAAAAATGACTCTCAGAGTCATTGTTTGCAGAGCTAAACAGTATCAATTTCAACAATTTCCTCAAACTTCCCATAAAACAGGTTCCTAGTTTAGCAGTGCCACTTGTCCTGTGTGCATGCCTTCAAGTCAGTTTTGACTCTTAAGCAAATACATGGACAGATCCATGAAGTTTTCTTGTAAGCATTTTCAGAAATGGCTTGCCTCTTCCATCTTCCTAGGCCTGAGGTCACCCAGCTGTCTTCTGTGCCTAAGGCAGAATTACAATTCATGTTCTCCTGACTTCTAGCCCAGCACCTGTAACTTGTTAATGCCTTCAAAATCTCTGTGTAACTTCAGAAACATACATAGAAGGGTTTCCTATGGTTCACAGAAATGATTAGTGCAAATGAAGCAGCTCTCTTTGAAGAAGGAAAGCAGCCAGCAAAATGAAGTAACCATGTGCACTCCTAAATATGCAGATAATAAGAATGCTTCAAAGCGGCTAAGGAGGTTTTGCAAACTGCATAGGACTTCTTGGATTCTTTGGAGAGAAAAGCTTTGTTCACTGTTAAATGCTTTATAAAATGTCTCTTTCAAATACTCCATTATAGCCCTACCAAATAGCCTAGAATAGATAATTGGTTCTCAAGCTATTTAGCAGACATTTTACACAACATTAATAACTCATAATTTGAGAGTTGAATACAATTTGATAAAAAGTATTAAAATATTGCAAAATAGGCAAAAAGACATAATCTTCCATAAAATCAGATCAACATTTTACTTAGCATACAACAATATATAATAGATGCTGGAATCTACCTATTAGATTCTTAATATGTTTGCTTTAGGAATAAGCAAACATATTGATCATGAATCTAATATTAAGTATTCAATAATCTGATATTAAACATTATAGTCCTATATAAGTCCAATATGAGCTGAGTGCACAATGACTACACATATACATATAATTACTACGTTGTAATACAATAGTTATTTTAAAATATTTTGACTGTTTGAACTTCTATTATACAGTATGCATCAGCAGCTAATTAATTTTTTAAAAAATAATTCATTTCATTTCTGTCCATGCAACTTAAAATAAATGGGTTAAAATGTGAGGATTCTGTAGACAGAAAAATGATGCTATGATACTAGCACAATAAACCAATACTACAATGTACAAAATCTACAGTGCTGTTTCTTTGGCTTCTAAACTACTGGATTTGTGTAGAAAATAAGCAACTAAACTGAAAGTCACACCATTCTTTTTGATCACATGGTGTTTTTTTTCCATGTTGGAAACATAAATGTAATTTTAGCTATGGATTATTTTGTATATACACAACTTTTTTGTACTAAGTTATAATCTATAGAAGTCTGTCTAAGGAAGTATAAATATCCCTACAACTGAACGCTGTTCTTTCTCGGTGAACTTATACAATGTACGTTTTATTTTAATTATTCTTTTATGCAGAACATGACATTATAAAGTTGCTATTTTTTCAAAACAATAAGGAAAATAATATATTTTTTAAATTGCTGATATTGTTGAAGTCAAGCAATTTATGAATAAGCAATATTCAGGATCTGAATTATGTATATGCTAGTTTCTGCCCTACTTGCTTACTCCACATCTATATACACATATGGGTGCCTATAACACATATGCGTGGTACTAAATCTGGTGCTAAACTTCAATTTATTTCAGTTTTAGATCACGAGATGATTTGTTTTAAACAGCGGTAGTATAACCTACATTACTTACAGCAAGATTGTGAGGGAAAGCTGAAACAAATAAGAAATATAACAATTTACAAATGAACAGTAATTATAAACCTATATTCTCTCCCAAACTACTGTTCCCTTCTTCAGCATAAAGAGCCAGAGGTTTTGTCTGCCTTAGGCAAGGTAGTTGGAAGAGCTGCTTCAAGAATTAATGAACAAAAATGGCAAGGTAGGCCAAAGTGCTTTTATTCCATGTATTTTTTTTACTTTGTTTTTATGATAAAAATCACAAGAGATGCAAAGTAATTTGAATAAATGCTTCCCAAGCCCTGCCCTATAACAGCTACTGTATATATATTTCAAAATTTAAATAACTGGGGCTTTTAAAAGAAATACAGTATTATTATTAATGATACCTATGTTTATCTAAACCACATAAAATAACATTTTGCTTTGTTTTGTTCAGGACGAAGTTCCCTTAGGAATGCTAGGTAAAGAATTACATATGAAAAGTGGATAAATTTTTTTAGTAAGTCTTCTGTGCCATTCTAATTCACAAACCTTCTCCAGCAAAAGGATTAAAAATATACTTCCAAATAACAAAGTAATAAGAAAAATGAAGATAATGAACATTTTTTTTGCATTAAAAGGGTGAATCAAACTGTACCACAGCAGAGGCCTTCTCTCCCCAAAGTCAAAATCCTTTGGAAAATCAGGTCTTAATGGTTTTCCAAAATCTTAATAGGTATCTCCTGGTGTACATAAATATGAGATTGGGGAGTTGGGTCGTTATAGTAGGTTTATACCCAGTATCCCTGTAAAAGGACCCAAAGAGAATGCTTTCTTCAGATCTTATTGGATGGGCAGAAACTAGTTGGAGTAGACTGCCCTGAAGACATTCAGGTCTCATGTGATGTAGGGCTTTATAGGTGACAACCAGCACCTTCAATTGTAGCCAGAAAATAATGGCTATCAGTGCAGCTCCACATGGGGCTGCTGTATTCTGATCTAGTGAAGTTTCCAAGTGATTTTCAAAGGCAGTCACACAGACTGTGCATTGCAGTAATCCAAATGAGGTATGAATGGCTGTAGGTAGAGCTTTTCGGTTCAGGTAAAGACTCTAAGATGTAATTGTTTGAAAACCCTCTCAGGTGCAGCTATGAGGACTAGAACTAGAAATAGGCAAGGGCAAGAACTAGAATTGAATTTGCTGGCTTTGAAAGTTTTTCAAAGAAGAAAAAGAAAAGCCTACTTCTTTTTCTTTCTCCTCTTCACATGTAGCAGACAAGGACAGATTGTTCTTTCAAGAAGTATGAACTGCTTATTTGAAGAGGTTTTTCAAACACCCGTTGCTAATCTCTGATACTGTGTGCTAGATGGCTTGCAGCATAAAAACCATTTACTTTAAAACAAAGCATCATAAACTAATATTTTAAGGGATAAGAGCCACCTGTATGACAATTTCCAAAGAGAGCGAGTGTAATGAGAAGAGAGAGCGTACAGGATTTCATCAGGGAATTGGAGTGGGGTATGAGATGTTAAATGAAGATCCCTAACCCATTTTTTCTTTTAACGTGTTTGCACTTGGCTAACTTAACAGCCTGAGAAGGGAATAAGAAGAAACGAAGGCCTTTCTACTGGTGGTGACTTAAGAAGCAAAAGTGAAGATATATCTGCAGTCCTTGAAACAGTTGTCAAAGGATTGGAGCAGTCAGTGCCACACTGATG